AGTCTAATGGAGTCTAATAGCAGCTACAGGAAGGACTTCCCTAGATCTTATGAGACCCTCAAAGTCATCTAGCAGTCACCTGGAAAAACTCACCAGACAAGAAGAAAGAAGAGGCATAGCTGAACCAGTAGGTCTGGAGGTGGTGCAGAAGACCATTTCCAACCCACTACTGGCACCCACCACTCACTCCCTCCCAAAGGAAATTTCCAGCCACTCTGGTTCACTTGTGTGACAAGTTTTTCTTCCTCTACCTCTGCTCAGGTGTGACTTTATCATCTGCTTTTCAGCCAAGAGGATGCTTCACACTGAAGGGATCCAGAGACAAGCCTTATAATTAGGAGGTGGGTGCCACCCACCAGTTAATCCCTCCTCCTTCCTCATTGAGCCTGGGAAATATGTAGCCAGGTTTGTTTATATTGCCTATACAACTTATCATTTGTTCATACTGCTTTCTGTCTTCAAAGCACTTCAGAAGGAGTTTTGCAAGCTTCTCCCCAACCCTCATGTGACAAAGGATTTGGAAAGGGGATGGAAGGTGAGCAGGGAAAAGGAAAGGTAAATAATTTGCCCCAGGACAAACAGAGTTGGCAGTAGAGCCAGGATCAACACCCAACAGCTCCAGCCTCTGAATCTCATGCTCTGATCTCTGCCTGTACCTCACTATCTTCAGGTTCAAAACTGGTATTATGTAGCCCAGTGATCATCTTGGTACCAGAGAGCAGGTTTCAAGGGATTTCCTTCAGCCCAGCACTCCTGTGGTCAGAGCCACTGGACCTAGTGGTCCTGGACCAATGATTAAACTAAAGAATTTCAAACATCTGGCAGTGGTCAGTAAAACCACAATCAACACGTTTCCCTTATCAGCACCAGAGGAAGGACAGAGGAAAGGATCCATCCACGACCTTCATTCAAGCTGATATTTTGGACTGGTTAAAGCAGGCAGTGGTGGGCCGACAGCCTGCACTTCCCCCTCCACCATGCCTGCACTGCTTTTGGTGCAGACAACTAGATCGAGGACTTGTGCAGCCATAGAAAATCCCCAAGGGAGAAAATTATTTTTTTTTCTACGCCAGACCAGTGCCTCTGCATCAGGCAGTTGGGTAAATGCTCATGCCAACAAACAAGGTGGAGCAGTGAGTGCTTAGATCAGGCTGGGGAAGGAGAACAGCTTAAACCACTTTTCCCATCACTAACCATAACAGTAGAGCAGCTCCAGGCGTGTCAACGGAACTACAGTAACCTGGACCAGCACTATCATTTCTATCAGCCAGTACCTAGAAACATCTGGCCCACTGGCCCAAAATTCTTAATATATTGATAACCCTGCCACAGCTTTACTATTGGTACTGACTTGCTAAGCCCCTTAAATCATTGCTAGGGCAAGAGCAGACTCTCTCCTGGGTGGCCCTGGGCCCACATATTACTTATTTTCTCCTCATCACTGGAACAATCTTATGCTGGAATTTGTTTTGCTGGTTTTGCTGCATTTTTTCTCTCTTGCTACAGAGGGAAAGGAAAGCTCAATAATTTGGAGTCAAAAGACACACTCCCCATCTTTGTCTCTTAATCATGAGACAAAATGAAAAGGTTCGAGCAGATAAGGAGCCACTCAACCAGAGCATTCCTGGTACCAGACCCACCTGGTGAGCACCAACCTTGGGTGAGAGCACCACTATCAGCCCCTTGGCTCTGCTGGGAGAGCCCCTACCTAAACCTGCCATTTGCTCTCCTCCTGGCAATGTGTGTCAAGGTTCTGCCCCTTGCTTTGCTTTCACCCTCCCATCTGTAAAATAGATGTAAGGCACCTTTCCCAAAACCCTCCAGGACCTGATGATGAAGACTCCAGAAGCGTTAGAGGACTCTAGCGTCACCACTACTTTGGGGATTACTCCTTGCTGGGGTAGGAGAGGGTGACAATTATAGGGATCATGTCTTCAGCCCTCTCCTACGTGAGAGGGGAGGGCAAAGCAATTTTGGCTTTTCCACTGATGGGTATGCAGGGCAAACAAACACCAAGTGCCAAGGCTGGAGACCGCAGGCACTGGGGGTGATGCAGCACCTGAGATAGCCTCCGACACTAGGACTAAGTGAGGACTACCAGCTCCATGTATGTGCAGGCTGAGTAATATCCTGAGGAGCCCAAACACACACACGGAGATGGCTGGGACTTGAGAAATCTTGCCCAAGGGCCAACGGGGCTCTAGTGAGTGACCACACAAACTTCTGTAGATCCCACATTCATTAAAAGTAAAATTAATGTCTCCCTTAATAACCTCATTAATGACATCTGCTCTCCTAGGAACCAGGATTGCTCGAACCTCATGTCTCTGGATGAAATCTGAGCTTATGCTGAAGCCTTCTGGTGAGTGAGCTCTGCTAGGGTCCCTCTGCTACAAGGACTCTCTGGCGTCTAACAGAGATTTGGTCTATGCCAGGCATTTCTAGGGACAGTGAGTATGTCTTTCTCTTTCCTCCCCTCAAGACCCATTTTCAGGACACTTTTAGGTGCCCTGAAGCAGAGGATCTCTACTTCTTAAGTGTTTAAAGGGTATGAAGAGAAGGAAGGGGCACAGACTGACAGGCACACGAGTCCTACCATGAGTGTCTTTTCTTTAAGAAACCGACAGGAAAGAAAACAGACCAAGCTTTATTTTTCTTGGTATGGAGAAGGGATAATTTCCTGTTCATGATTCAGTGCTGTCATATGGAGACAATGACTGTCCTTTATACTCCTCACAGCTTTGTCTTTAAAACACCGCTCATGACAGCACACCTCTCCAGGTAAGGTGCAATTACCTGGGAGTTCACTAGCTCACCACTAGCAATTACTCAACTGCCCTGTGTCCCATCAACACACCCTAATCACCACATCATCACTGCAGCCTTAAGACTGGTGGCTCCTGCAGTAAATACTGTCATTAAACATCTGGGAGTGAATTTACTACCAGCCATGGAGTGCTTACTTGCTGGGGTCACTGCAAACATGCAAATTGAACAGAAGGATTGTTATAAAATATGATCCCACTCAAATAAAAGCAGATGCTACTAGCAAGCAACAGGCACTGTTGATTCCATAAAACACCAGGAAAGACAAGTTATTTAATGACTATCTGGGAAAGTTCTGCTTCAGTGGGGCTAACACTCCCAGTCATAAACTCCCTAGGCAGAACTCTTGGGGAGATACAGAGTGAGCTGAATTTGTTCCTTTTTATGGCCTGCAAGGTGTGGGTATGCTTTCCCCTCTCTTGGGTTTCAGACTGACATTACTGTTCATGGGTTTAATAAAGCTTGAAGAATGTACTTGCCTTAACCCTTCAGAGAAACAAGGCTTATTTGAACTAATTGGAGCAGGAAGAGCTGCTGGTCCAAGTAGGAGCATCACCCAGTCTCAAATTGCTAAATTTTAAAAACTGGCTCTAAAACATGATTGTTGAAAAAAGAATGAAAATACCCAATTAGTTTAATTCACCTTTAGGCTTCTGAATTTTCAGGTTCATTTAGGTCAAACCTCCTCTTACCACATGGGACAGACATTTTTTCTTAACTTTTATTTAGATATAAAAAGCATCACTGAATCTAATAGACCTGGTACCTGGGTTTTCCAGGCAAAGCCTATACTGCTGTTGAGTCCACCATCCCAGAATTATAAACCTTGGCAACACTGCATTATGCAGGATTTTTTTTTTAACTGACAATTTGTGTTGCATATTCCCACTTAAACAGTGAAAAATGATCTATGTAACAGGCATGACCCTTTCCCTTTCTCTAATCCCCCCACAGTCCTTGGATAGGCTGACTGTGCTAATCTTACACCTCCAGGTCATCAGTGAGAATCCAGGTCAGCAACAAAAACACTGCCAGCAAAACCCTCTCTGCTCATTTTGTGATGTCCCTCTGGCTTTTCCTGACACCAGGATCTTGAGGAACTGCTCTTCTGCTACAAGCATGACACTGAGAGGGATCACCAAGTCTTCTCATGCCTTTGGTGCTGTGGGTAAGAATTGTTCAGGCAGCCCTCAGCTCTGTGCCCTGATAAATAACACAAGCTGTGATCTCAAAGGTCTTCGCATTTTTGCCCCACTCGTGGCACCAAGACCTTTCTGAGTTGGGGTGCTGCTTTTCAGTGTGTGCCACTGAATCCACACAGGACACCAGCCCTTCCACAAGCTCACCACCCACCACGGAGCCAGGAAGCTCCTCTGGGATGGATGTTACCCTGTGGAGGTGGCTCCTCGTCTAGGACAGCTTGGACCTCCTCTGTCCTTAATGGCTGGCACATCTTTTTACATGTTTGTCTCTGTTGGTTTTGATAGGTGCAAAACGGGCTGTGGTGAGTGCTGCCTCCCCGTGCCGGCAAGCTTCTTACATCTCTGCTCCCATCTCCAAGTAGAGGAAAAAGCCTTTTCTTTACCGCACACCCCCACAATGCTCCTCGCTTCCCTGCACACAATTGAGCCCTGGGGGGCCCTTCCCTCTTCACCCTCCCCCCTGGCTCCAGAGGAATGGACATGCAGGCGGGTTGTGCTGAGACACAACCAGAGCAGCTCTCTATCAGCAGGAAAAGCTTTCATTTCAATTTAAAGCCACTTTCTTCTAGCACAGCTCGTAGCCTTGGCTGACCTGCAGGGCTTTTGTGAGTTTGGTTAATCAGGCGAACCTAAACTTACCCAAAATCACCTGCTCCGTCCTCTTGGGGCAAGAGAGCTGACCACAAACTGTCTGAAGGCCGCTTGACTGCCCTCTCCCTGCACAGCTTCTCCCCAAGCATCCCTCCCACAAAATCAGTTTCAGGACCCCCAAAATCCCAGTGATTTCCCTTGCCCTACTCCCACTTAAAACAAGCTCCTCCACTGCCGTGTCTGTAGACAGGAGCACAGGTGCCGGCTGAGCGACGTGCGGAGTCAGTGCCGCCGTCGGCCACCTGACACCCACACTGGGTGAAACTCATCCCACCTCCAAAGCTGGGGCTGGGGCATGGCCCGGGACCGCGCAGAGGGTACCTGGAGGAGGGCCAGGGGCCCTCCGCTCTGCTCCTCGCCGTCGATGCCTGCCTTTCTCCAGCACCCGCCGAGCTCCCGGAGCCGAGTGGGGACGGGAAAGTCTGGCTCCTCTGCTTCTCGTTGCCAGGACACCTTGGCGTTCAAACCTGAGCTGGGACCAATCAGCCCCGGGGCCGGGGAGCACCAGCCTCACGTCATCCTCCCCTGGCGTTGATTTGAGCGAAAAAGCGTGACAGCGGTCACACAGCCCGTGGGGAGCTGCCTTTGTGCGGGTGGGCTCTGCCCCCACCCCTGCCGCTTACTGCAAGCCTCCTCTGTCGGGCTGCGGAAAACAAAAGAGCCGCGAAGAAGGGAAGGGAAAAGAGAATTTCTTTCCGACTGCCAAAATTGATTTCGAAAGCCTGGGCTCTTCTGGATGTCCTCGTTCTTCACCTCCCGGCTCCAGCCTAGACCCCGGTGGTCACCTCACCAGGGAGAGCCAGCGCCTGGATCGCTTCATTCAGGGAGCGATGGAGCTTCCCCAGAACTGGCAGTGTGCTCCTTGTCCCCCAGTGTGGCTGCTTCCACCTGACTGGCTCTGCCCCAGACTGTGCAGCATGAGTGCAGACCCACAGACTCACAACTCCAGGGATGCTTTTTGGCTTGGCTGCAGTTGCAGGGGCGTTTTTTCTCCCAGCCAGCCCCTGCAAGATGTTTTTTACGGAGGCCAAAACTGCAGCCCTAAGCCCCTCGTGAGCACAGGGCACGTCAATACACAATGCAAACAGTCCATCTTTTGTTAAGGAAACTTTCCCGTCTGATCATTTGGGAGGCACTCAAATTTGGGACTGTGACAGTCAAAGTGCCTCCCAATGGTCAGACGGGAAAGTTTCCTTAACACCTTGGTGCTGGCTTCTCGGCTCAAACAGGTGCAGCTGCTGCCAAGGTGCCCACCTGAGTGAAAGTTGCAGCCTTGTTTCCTGTGGTGCCAGTGATGGGAACCAGTGCATTTTGCCTGCCCACAGCTGGAGAGGATTAGACCCACCAGGCTCCCTCCCAAGGTGGGTAGGTCCAGGTGCCTGGGTAGAAACTGAAGAGAGACCTCGACATCACCTTGATGGTGGTGATAGCAGGATGGACAACAGGGACTCAGATATCTTGGCAGAGCTTCTTCCCTTGAGCCCTTTAGACTCTCTATCCCAGGCATCTATGTGGATCTCCTTCCTGCTCACAGTTCAAAGTCATAACATCCTTCATGCCCAGGGCAGATGCTGAGCCTCTGGGATAAGTGTACTAGGTTTCTCTAACCCTGTTGCCTGTAATTTATTCTCCCCACCAGAAGACAACTGAGGTTTTGCCCGCTCCCAAGAGAAGATGACCTGAAGTGTGGTCTGAGCATGCTGGAGGGTGGAACCATAGGATCAACTCCTTGTGGTGCTGTGCCTGACTCACTCTCCATTATACCACCTCCCAACCACTCATTTCACTCCATTAATTAGCTACGCTGCCGAGGTGCAATTCACTCCCGTGGCCTGCACTTGGGCTGCTTTCCTTGTCACCTTGTGCTAGCAACAATTAATGAATCCAGGCTGGCTCCTTAACCCCACTCTGCTCTGCAGGTGGATACGAATGAGCTGTAGCAGCCTTTTCCCAGTGGACTCGTGTCTTTCCTGTACAGTACCAGGCACCCAGACTGCCTTCCTTGCCTTTGGGTTCAATTCAGCACCTCTTGAATGAGGTATGATTTAATTAAGGACACTGTTTCTGCAGAAGATGGCCCATGTGAGGCTGTAAAAGACTTTAACTTATTAATTTTCTGGACATACCTACAGTTAATTTGTGGTGACTTTATGCAGTAGACAAGCACACAGGGAGGTGTTCATGTGGCTCTGAGGTTGCTCTGCTCATCCTTAACACCAAGCCTCCAGTGGTGCTGGTTAGACCACGGTTGCAGACGTCCCTTGTTTGGCTCAGATATCAGATTTCTCCATTGACTCGATGAAGGAGGAGAAGGCAAATGACAATCACAGAAAGTGATGGGATGGATTTCACCCCCTCATTAGTTCCATCACCCCAATTACAGAGCTTGGGGAGGATGTCAGCTGTCAAGCAGGGATACAGCCTCACTACCATACACAAAGCAGGAGGGGGAAAACATTGACATTTCTGGCAGCTTTCCTGAAGAGAACAGACAACATCTCAAGAGATCAGGTGCATATCAGCATGGAGCCTGGGGGATGTGAAAGGCTATCCCTACCAGTGCTGTTAGTGCTTTTAACAGCAAGTTAGGAGGGCTGAACAAGGCAGCAAGACCTGGCTGTCTGGGCATTGCTGTGGTGCAGCAACACACAGCAGTGAGCTGCAGTGCTGCACCCAGGAGAAAGGCAAACAGCAGCCCTGGCCAGCAGTGGGGCTTGGGGATGAGGCTGTCAGAAATACTGAGCTGAGGTGGTACCAGCTTTTCTGTGTTGGAGAAAAATCCATTTTCTGCACTTTTTGCATATGATTTAGAAGCATTCCCCTTTATCCTCAACCCATTCTGTTCTCACCTGAGTCAGGACTGAACTTCTAGCCCCCCCGACTCACCATCTTTTATCTCAGGCTTTAATGCAGGCAGCTAATCTTGGGTCCCAGTCACCTGGGGAGATTTTCAGTCGTGGGAAAAAACACACTTGAGAGTGATTTCTCTCTTAAGTGACTGACTCAGCACCTGGAAGTGCCATCTCCCTCCTCCACACAGGCAGGAGCCAGGTATAACCAGGCATAGTCTCGTGTTAGATGGGAGAGGAGTCCTGCCTCCAGACAAAATCAAAGCATGTGAGATACCAAAATACTCCAGAGGGCCTGGGCCTCACTCCTTAGCTAGGAGTCATCCCCCAACCAGCCCCATGCATTTTGTCCAGGCATGGGCAGCACTGGTGTATTGGATAAGTGAGCTCAGTTCCCTCCTCCAGGACTCACCAGCTCCTTCAAGAACTGGAGATACTGCCACTGCCAGCATGAGGAGGGAGCACAAGATCCCCTTTTGCACAGCTCTCTTGCAGCCGAGCTGTCAGAAAAGCTGTTGTGTCGCTGGACAATGGACATCCATCCAGACAGCTTGGACGTCTGATCATGGAACCTTTGAAACTATTATATTGGAAGAGGGTCTCAGCAGAAACCTCCTCTACCATGTCACTATGAGTGTCACGATGCAATGAGGCTAGAAGATAGCAACAAAACATGCCAAACTAACTCAGTGGTGGGGCAGAGTGGACTCAACCAGTCAACCATTGGGGACAGAAAGGGGGTAGTCTTTTCCAAGGTCCAATGGCTCAGTTTTGCCCCTTAATGCTTCTCCAAGCAAGATCTGCTCTGCCTGTCATTGGTGCAGGTGTCCCATCCAGAGCCACCCAACATCACAGGCACTGACGCAGTGGGATGTGGGATAAGACCCCAGCGGGATGCAGCAGCACAGTGTGATTTCCCTTCAAGCAGTTATTTGTTTGCGAGCTCCCCAAAATCCCCAGCTAGCCAACACCAGAGCTGGTGGGCTGGTGGAAGGAGAGAAATAAACCCGTTGTTTCTGGAGGGGCTGGAAGAGGGCCCAGCAAGTATTGATTCAATTCTTCATTCAATGCATGTTTGAGTGAAGCAATTCAGAACTGTTCCATCAATTCAAACTTGCGTAATAACATTAGCCACAAAACTCAGGAACTTGGTCCATCTTTCCTAGCAGATCCATTATTCTGAATCACTCCCTGAGTAACGACAATAAAATGATCTTGGCCTGATACATCAAAGCCAAAACCCCTAAAAGTCTAAGAGACAAAGTTTTTGTTATCACCTTTTTCTGGACAATACCCTACATGAACATTCCCCATTTCCCCCTTACCTTGAATAAATAATATTGTAAAAGAAGTATAAGAATAAAGTAAAATTTAGAAAATATATTATTGATAAGCACATCTTAAAAAAAACCAAAACAAAAAACAAAACAAAAAAAAGAGAAAATGTGCAAACCCCTTTTAGCACTCAGAGCAACCAGAGCCAAGGAAAATAGCAGGGGTGAAGAGGCAGATTGTATGGGCACTGCCAGGGTAGGAACAGGCTACAGAGAGGGAACTGTGACCCCCACTTTTCCACATGTACACTTCACCCTTACAGTAGACTTAACTTGAAGTTACATATTTTCTCAATTCAATAATACCTCTAAAAAAACTATGTCCATCTCTGCTCTCCCCACATCACCTGCTCTCAGGTGATCATCTCTTCTAACCCATACTTTTGGTTTAGCCTATATATTCCTTGGACAAACTCCTCCAAGGTGGCAATCTCCTTCTCTCCCCATTCTCCCTGAAGGGTTTTCCTTTCCCATCAGATTTATTTTGTCACATGCCCAGCAGGAACTGAAATGAGGGCAAACAAGTGTATTCATTCACATCTCCGTCTCCATATTATATCTGTCTCACAGGTAAGATGCAAACCCTGCTGTGAATAACAGCTTTAACCATGGCAACACACTCCAGCAACACAAACATAAAGGCACTGAGGTTGTAAAAAGGCTGGAAAAAAAGAATGAAAGGAGGAGAGGGACCAGGTCCATCCAGGCCTGTTAAGAGCCAGGCACCTGGACCTGGGTTGAGCAGCCAGGTATTAGGGTTGGTACCTCTTCTCCCCATTTTTTTCTCCCTTTGTATTCACATCTCAGCATCTTGCTAAGTGGAGGTCTTATTCCATCACCTCTGCCACCACTGGGCTTGACTGACCTGGAATAGAGCTTATTTCCTTCTGCCCCGAGTTGTAATAAAGGCACATTACAATTGAAGATCCTGGCTGCTTGAAAATTACAGGGATCCATCACTGCATGGCCTGATGGAAAAACCAGACCAGTGGTGAGATGCCATCATCTCAGCTCCATCCTTCTCCTGTGTGATGAGCTAGCCACATGGCTCAGGCTATGAAAGCCAACAGCCCCTTCTTTGAATATGGGGTACCCAAGCCCCTTTCATATTAGACACCAGCATCATGCTGTGCTCACAGGACAGCTTCAAGGGTACCTGCTGGCTGGAGAAATCAAAGCACTGATTTACTCGTGGAGAGGACAGAGATCATTGTTGGCATGGAAGAAAGAGAGATTTTAGCTGTTCAGAAAGCACCTGCAATGCAATCAGGTCACTCCGGGCATGCTTGAAGCCTCCAGTGAAGACCCTGGCACCATTACATGAGGCACTGCATGGGCAAGGCCCTGTTCCACTGAGCTTGCAGGGCAAAGGAGCAAGATTGATGGGAGGTGGAAGAAAGCATGTTTTATGAATTCCATTCTCCAAAGAGGATGAAGAGCAAGGGTTAAGTGGCCCTCCCACAGTCAGCCCAGATGCCCATGGCAGTGTCAGAAGTGGACACAGCCCCACCGCTGTTTCACCTCTCTTGCAGCTGCTAATATTCTTAAGACACAGCCAGAAATACAGGACTGCCACCTGGTCTGGGTGGACTGGTCTCCCTCCTCTGAGGAGGGAAGTGAATCTGGACAAAGCAGCAGCCTTTTGCTATCCACAGATGAAATGTCATAATTTTTGGATGATTTTGGCTCTATAGTGACCTCAGACCTCCTTTTAAAGGGTGATGTGCGTTGTTTTGCTTATTCTTGGTTAAAATCCAACAAGCCTTTGCAGCCTGCAAAGAGCG